TGACGTTACAGGGCTGTTTCCGGAAAGTGAAAGTGGATTACTTCACTAAGTGGCCAGAAGTCTTCGCCATTCCAAATCAAGAAGCTTCAACAGTTGCAGATAAACTAGTTCATGAAGTCTTATGTCGTTTTGGTGTACCTTTAGAGATTCACAGCGATCAAGGAAGGAATTTTGAGTTTCAAATAGTCCAGGAAACTTGCAGAGTTATGGGTACTCATAAAACAAGAACAACTTCTTACCACCCACAATCGGTTGGAATGGTAGAACGATTTAATCAGACATTGGAGAGGTACCTAGCAAAAGTTGTGGAAAAACGGTAACGAGACTGGTACAGGCACATACAATCGTTTTTGTTGTCATATCGAAGCGCTGTTCACGAAAGTACATCAGTGACACCAGCTTTCGCAAACTTTGGGAGAGAATTACGGTCGCCTGCAGACCTGATCACCGGAATACCACCTGATGCCCCACGCAGTATAACCGATTATGCAAATGACTTGCGGAACAAAATGAATCACATTTATGAGCACGTCAGACAGACGGGCCAGCAAACGTCTGAGAAGATGAAAACACGGTATGACCGCAAAATGAACAACAAAGGGTTTGACGAAGGTTCACTAGTGTGGTTACACAATCCAGCTCGCAGCAAAGGGAAATCTCCTAAGCTTCAAGCTAAATGGGACGGACCGTACCGAATTGTGACAAGGATCAATGACGTAACCTACCGGATACAGAAAGGTGCCAGAGGTACTCCTAAGATCGTCCATGTGGATCGATTGGCGCGTTATTATGGGGCCAATAATGCTCGCGACGAGCATGTTTTAGGAGGGGGCAGTGTTGCGCGCCACTATTAAGGTCTTGTATATGGCAACAATAGTTCCCACTAGTGCCCTCTAGTGTCGAGTAGTAGAACTAGGAGAGTCAAGATCCTTCTAGAAATTTTGGGACCGATATGTACTCGAACATTCTAGATGTCGCTACAGTAGAAGGTTCTGGAAACTATCTGAGGCCCTATATAAGGCCGGTATAGACCACAACCGAGCAGTATTGAATTGGCGATACAAGAGAATACTGCGAAGCGAAACAACTGCGAACTTAAGTGATCAGTAGTACAATTGTGTTTTATTATTAGTGTGGTTGTTAGATTGTAATTAGTGTTCTGTAATTAAAGTGTCAATTTTGGTAAATCAATCGGCAGTTTAATAAATTAATTGTCTCGAACCCCAAGCTCGTGACAGTATGTTCGCTTTATTTCTATTTTCGAGAAAGATGTTATCAAAATAATATAATAAAATAATGGAAACGAAAAAGGATGGGAACTTTATTTATGCAGTAGGTATATATAAATGTATATAATAAATAATATAATGAGTAATACAATAAAACAATGTAGATATTTACATAATACTATGAAAATATAATTGCAGCTATTTTATCCACCCTAAATGTTTAGTGACAAAAATATTCTTTTACTTTTACCTTGAAAAGGCTGATGGCTTATGATACAGTACTACTCACCGCGGTATCGTGCCAAGAACGCTGACTGCGTTTCCCCGCTGAATAGGTATACTTAGCTTTTGAGCGTGAAAAAAACCAGCCCTCTTATCACCAGCAGCAACGACCAGACGCGGATGGAGTTCCTTTAGGATCTCCACTGCACGTGGACCCCATGGACCGATAGTCTCTACAGCAAATGGCACAAATATGTAGTCATCTCTCAGAGACTCATATTTGCGCCACTTACTCTGTTCAGCTGCCTCTGATGCCGCCCCGGCTCTAAACGAGGTTTCCCTGATATGAGAGGCCGCCAGAGTGCCTACGCAAGTAGCATCCCACACTAGGGCTTTACCTCTCTCCCAAGAGAAATAACATACCGTCGGGTCTCTTGCCATCGTCTCTAAATATTCCACAAGGCTCTAAAACCGAGGGAACATTTATAGAGATAAGAGCCCTCTGGATGACATCGTTCAAAGAACCGTGCCGGGAAAACCTACCAGCACTTTTCTTACATGAAAGTCCGTGGAGCCCAAACTTGTCGACGTTGCTACCACGGGGGCACTGATGGGGTTAACAAATCGGCCGCTCCTAGACGGATTCCTTCGGCGATGCGCAAGCTTTCCCCATGAAGTAATGTGCCGAGATTACTTGATGGTAAAGCGTGTAACGAGTGACTAGATTCCTTAATCGAAACAGCTAGAAGGCGTGCGTTAGCTTGGTCACTATGGAAATTATGAAACAAATCTTTCTGCACGTTCTGTACCAACGGAATATCCCACTGTTTTTGTTGGTTAACTTTCAGTGGAACATTTTCACCGGGACAAAGCGTTTACCATGTCTGCCCTGCCTCCGTATCAAAGCACAGGTCTACATTATTATTTAAAACTAGCTGTTCCCCGCGACTTCGCTCGCGTGTTAGGGTTTTTATGTTTTTGCGCGGAGCCCTAATTCTTTTTCTAAAATGAAAGTAGCCTAAGTTACTCCTTATGAAATCAGCCAGTAAAAGTCTCGTCAAAATCGGTCCAGCTGTTTCGGAGATTACCCGGAACAAACAGACAGACAGACAGACAAAAATTCTAAAAACTGTATTTTAGTTATAGGTACTGTATTTACTTTCATATGCATTTAGTAAAAAACTGTAATTTTGACATTACAAGCAGACACTTCAATTTTATTTATTTGTATAGATTATGTTACATAAGTCACTCACACTATGCACGGAAGCAAGGAAAGCAGGCAATGCAACGCTAGAAAAATTCCTCACACCAATACATACCACCAATTTTTATAGGTAAAGTAGCTTGAGTCCAAGCTGTTGTATTTAAAGTTAAATTTAGAATTTTTCCTTTAGCTATTTTAAGATTGTTATCAATATCTTTTAAAATATCCGAACATTTCCAGACTGGGCTCGAGCGGAGTAAGTATGTAAATGTAGGTACAAGGAGACAATATTTTAAAACAGTAAGAGCAAGGTGGGTTTTTAATTTATACAATTTATCAACGTGGTTTAAAAACTAATCAAATTTTGTTTTTAAAACAGTTTTGATTCCGTACTGACAGTATTTATTCCTGGAGAAATATGATTGAAATTTTGAATTAAAGTGTCTCTATGAGAAGTAGATTAATTAAAATTTAAAAAATCTTATAACATCTTTTTATTAATAATCAGTGTTGCCACAATTACATTAATTACATCGACATCGATTGTTCATACTAAAAATTAAGTTGTCAATGTCTTCCTGCGGTATGTTCTTTCCAAGTGTTCGTAAAGTTGTTCCGTCGCCAAATTTAGCGGGAAATCTCTCAAAGCTTTTCTTTGTAACATGTTCCAGGCATGCTCGATAGGATTTAAAAGTTGGGCGACTGTGCAGGCCAATCCAAAACTTGAATATCGTGGTCTCGGAGAGCGGCCGACACCAGCCGCGGCGTATGGGAAGGAGCATTATCGTGCATGAGTAGAAATTCCTGGCCCACTTGGGTTCTCTGTGGGACAATAACAGGCTCTACTACCGCCTCGTGGTATTTTTGTGCAGTCATGATGTCTTGGATCCAAACGAGTTGGGTTCGTCCGCCAAGACGAATTCTTGCCCACATCATGATTGTCGCTCCTTGGTATGAGTGGACCTCCTGAGGGTGCCGTAGATGGCTAGCTCTCCTTGGAGTTCTCCAAACGCGTGTTCTTCGTGAATCCAGATGAAACCCAAACCGGGACTCATTGGTGAACAGCACTAAAAACCATTGTTCGTCACTCCATAGTCCATAGTAAAAGCTCCCGAGCCCACGAAAGCCGCCGACCGCGATTGCCACGTCGCAATGCTGGAACACGTAGCGGTCTCCGAGCATGAAGACCAACTTTATGCAATCTCCTTCGCATGGTTTGACCCTTTACCAGCAGCTGGTAGTCCTCCTGGAGCCTTTGTAGTAGTTGCATCGCTGTGACATTGGGTTGTCTTCTGACGGTCATTTGGAGAAACCGATCCTTTCCCTGCGTAATAACACGATATCTGCCCGTGTGTCGTCGTTATAGAAATTTTGTACAACTGAATTTATTAAATTTTGAAGTCTATTCAAACGTAAAAAAAATATCAGCATCTATTTCATGGTGCAAAACAATACCTATACCTAGGACCAATAATTATATGAATCAAATATCGCAAATAAACATTATAATTGTAAATTGACAGAGGACCATGAAATCATCATTATTTTGTTAAAACTAAATTAACTTTAATTATGAATAAATGTACCTAATGTAAAAAATAAAATGTAAATAATAATAATAATAATAATAAATTTTGATTCCAATACAATTTACCTTTTTTATGGATACATCGGAAGACACACACACATAAAAAATGCAGTAGATGTTTCTAGACATGTATGATATGAATACAATCCTGGAAAATTTATTCACGTGTTCCTATAGCATAATTATATATTATAAGTATGCCAAATATCACTTATCTACGTCCGATAATCATTAAGAATTCAAATAAATTCTTTGACAAACAGACATAGAGACACAAAAACCAAGATGACATTAAAGTGATCGAATTTTGCTAAATTTGGCACGAAACAGCATTTAATGATGTTCCTAAATTGAAGCATACGCTAGCGAAGCCGCGGATAAAAAGCTAGTATTTTAATAAAATTGAGTTCTCCTTCGTACGAAATTTATTTCACTATACAAAAGGACACTCAACATTGAATATTACAATAAAGTTCTTATGTATGATATACATATATTATAATATATAGGTACTTATTGTCTTGAAACTGGAATGTAAATAAATTTTACCAAGTCTGTTTAAGCGTCTGGTAAAAGAAAGGCAAAAATATCCTTTGTCATAGGCACAATCACCCATGAAGCAAATACAAAGTTTGTATTTGCTTCATGCAAACACCTATGTCATAGGTGTGACTCATAGGTCATAGTTAACGTTGTACGTGTAATTTGAAGTTCGTTAATCTCGTTAATAAAAGTATTTAGTAGGATTATTAACCTGGCATGAAAAGCTCTTTCTTGAGTCTGTGTTTCCTCATCATACATGTTTAGTTTAGCGTCGTCTCCGTAGGTAATGAATTTAGAATGACGAGGGTGATAGCACAATCCCAAAGTTTGTCGTTTTTCCTTTATTGTATATAAACATTGTTCATAATTATACTTCCAACATTTTATATAACCATTGATATCTAGAAAATGTGAATAAAAAGGTAAAATAAATATTTAACAACATGATAAGATGGAATTGTCTCTTACGCTGTTTCCATCAAAGTAGAAAGGGCGGATATTCATTTTCTTAATGTTAATATCTAATCCAGGGGTCGGCAAAGCTGTGATCGCGAGCGCATATGCGCTCGGGACGGCTTTTTCATGCTTTTAATGATTATGCCTATATAGTATATTAAGTAGTGGCATTTTTGTGTTGTTAGTTTTAGCACTATTATTTAGTAGTACTATTAGTACGTATTATGCTATATTATAGCTGAGAGGACACCCCACTCAGCGCAGCCCACCGACACACATCCGAAGTGGGCATGCCAAGCCCGCTTGAAATGGCCACCTCGGGCCAGCCCTACACCACGGGCCAGCCAAGAGGTTTCTCTTTGTTCACCGCGGGTGACCAAGCCACGGCTACTAAGGCCCTCCGCCACCGTAATAGTATTATTAAGTACTAGTACTATTATTTATTCTGTGGTTTTAGCTACATATTTGTAGACCTGAATTGTTATAGTTTTTTGGTAACACACACACATGACATGAGTAAAAGACGAAGGACTTACTATTTTAATAAAGAGTGGGAAGAACAGTTCTTTTTTTAATTGAGTTTAACGGAAAAAGTATTTGTTTATTATACAACGCCAGTGTAGCAGTGCCTAAAAAAAGTTACATTGAAAGACACTTCAATACTCTGAATGCGTTGTGTAACTGTAGTTTTCCACCAAATACTGAAATCCGGAAGAAACATGTCTGCGAATTGAAGACAAATTTAACAAAATAACAAAGTGTTTTCACCAGGCCAGCTCAACTCTCGAAAAGTACTACTATTGCATCTTTAAAATTTTTTCATTTGTTGGCTAAGAAGAAAAAGCCTTTTTTTGACGGGGAAATAATAAAGGAAGCCTTCTTAACAGCTGGTGATTCTGTCTTTCAGAATTTTAAAAACAAAACGGAATTATTAATTACTTATTACGGCTATTGAAGCAATACCATTTTTCAAGTTATCGCTACTGATAAGTAATCGGAGTTGAAGAGTGATACTAAAAAGTGCAAGTTTTTTTCTCTTCAACTCGACGATTATACCATCATTTCCGACACTGCACAGCTATGTGTCATTATTAAAATGGTATTTAATTATTTTATATGAACGGAAGAATTTTTGAAGTTCTTGCCGCTTAAGAGTCGCGCAAAAGGTAAAGATATTTACGATGCGTTTATAAGTTTTGCAGAAGAAAGTCAGTTACAATCAAAAAAGTTAACTGCCATAGTTACTGATGGTGCAAGTGCAATGATAGGCAATAAAAATGGCTTCGTTGCGCTGTGTGTGGCAAATGACGTATTACCACTGCATCATCCACCAAGAGACGTTGTGTGCCAAAATTCTTCGTTCTGAACACGTCATGAAGATTGCCGTAAAGATAGTTAACTCTATTAGGGCTGCGGCAATGCAACACCGTTTGTTTCGGCAGCTTTTGCAAGATGAAGATGCTGAGTACGCGGATTTAATATTGCATACGCAAGTTCGATGGCTGAGTAGAGGCAAAGTGGTTGTACGCTTTTTAAGTTTAATAAACGAAATTAAACAATTCACGGCAACGAGAAACGAAGATTATCCACAGTTGACTGATCCCACATGGTTTGCAGATTTGGGGTTTATCACTGATATAACAATAAAACTGAATGAACTGCACCTGGAAGTACAAGGAAAAAATCGTCATGTTGCAGAAATGGTTGGATCGGTGAATGAATACATTCAAAGCCAAACTGAATCTATGAAAATCCCATTTACTGAGAAATTCAACTACACACTTCCCAAATTTAAAGAAAATGTTCGATCACATGAATGTATGTGAAAAAGATATTGATATTTGATACCATTTCATTTGCTCCACAATTAGATACACTTTTGGACGAATTTAATTCACGTTTCCAACAATGTAAGAAACTTGAGCCTATCTTGGAATTCATAATGAAACCATTCGCAGAAAGTGATGTTTCGGAAAAGATCAAACTATTTTGGCATAGAAAATTACGATGAATTAGAGGTGGAAATAATAACCATGAAGAACGACTTGAGCATGAAATCATACATGAAGGAGCAAAACTTTCGGAATACTGTTGATGAAAATAAATATCCAATTTTAAGGGTATTATCTCTTAAAATACACGCGTATAATGCATCAACGTACACATGCGAATCCATATTTTCAACAATGAAGCACTTAAAATCAAAATATAGAAGCAGAATGATAAATGTAAATTTGGACCATTGTATGAGGTCTCGTACTTCAAATTATGAGCCAGATTTTATCAAGTTGTCGAAAGAAATGCAAGGCCAAGGATCGCACTAATAACTAGTGACTTATGTATTTGATTGTATGTATGCCTCATGATAAGCATCTTGTTTTGCCTTTGTGTAATATTTAATTCGCGTTAACCATTCATGCGCCCTCTAGGAGTACATTATTTTAGAATGATCCTTTAGACTGGATAAGGTTGCGGACCCCTGATCTAGCCCATGCGCCCTTAACGGTTCACTTTATTTCGGATTTGAATTCTATATTTAATATTATTTGCTATGCTATGATAGCAGGACTATAATACACACACAGAACCATGATCCTCATCATTACAGCCTATCAAAGTCCAATAGGTACTGAACACAGGCCTCCCCCGTAGATTGCCTCATAAGTAGTCTTTTTATTATATTGAGTAGTTATCAAGATGCTGCAGCGCATCTTTTGTTTCAGTTTCCCTCTGTCGCCTCTTACGACATCCATGCGGAATGAAATGAGGTAGGTACTATAGATATTCTTACGACGCTACAGTATTAAGCGTCTCCCTCACAGGAGCGGCTTGCGGTGGCGGCTAACCGCGGGCCGCGGCTCCAGCCGCTGCAACAACACACCACCGCGGCCGGAATGGCGGCCTGAAGCGCCATTCGCTGTGGTGTCTGTGCTACGATCGGACGTCAGTAAACATGACAAACCGTGGCGAAGTTTTATTATATTCAGCAATATTATCATATATTTTGTTTTTAATCCTAATGCTTTTGTGATCACGATGCGAATTATCATAAAGTACAGGATAATTTTGCACTGTTTCTATTAAAACCTCTGAATTTAGCACCATTTTTCACGCGGTACACGCGGCCTGTTGTAAAAATTTGCAAATGACCGCGCTACGGCCATTGACTGACCGCGTACTCGCTAACACACACGCGTTGGCAAATGGGGCGGAGCATGCGGCCGCGGCCAGCCGCTGGCAGGCCGCGCGATGGCCGCTCGAGTTTACAGACTCACTTACATTGCAAGCGAATACAACTGGCCGCGGTGGCGGCCGCTACCGCAAGCCGCGTCTGTGTGGGAGACGCTTAAAGCGTCTCCCACACAGAAGCGGCTTGCGGTGGCGGCTAACCGCGGGCCGCGGCTGCAGCCGCTGTAACAACACACCACCGCGGCCCAAGTGGCGGCCTGAAGCGCCATTCGCTGTGGTGTCTGTGCTACGATCGGACGTACGACCATGACAAACCGTGACGAAGTCTTTATTATATTCAGCAATATTATCATATATTTTGTTTTAATACTAATGCTTTTGTGATCACGATGCGAATTATCATAAAGTACTAGATAATTTTGCACTGTTTCTATAAAATCTCTGAATTTAGCACCAATTTTCACGCGGTACACGCGGCCTGTTGTAAAAATTTACAACTGACCGCGCTGCAGCCACCGACTGACCGCGTACTCGCTAACACACACGCATTGGAAAATGGGGCGTAGCATGCGGCCGCGGCCAGCCGCTCGCAGGCCGCGTCATGGCCGCATGGGTTTGGAGACTCACCTACATTGCAAGCGAATACAACTGGCCGCCACCGCGGCCGCCACCGCAAGCCGTTTCTGTGTGGGAGACGCTTAATAGCGCAGTTAAAATATAAATAAATTATTTTATGTTAGTACTTACATGAAGATAAAAATGTGTCAGTTATAGGGTGCGACGGGTTGACAGGACGATGCTTAATGGCAGTCACAGGACCGGGGTAATTTCGAAATTCCTCGTCGACGAGTGTATGTGAGCAGTTACCGTTTATACAGTCAAATAATCTGACTGTGCCGTCCGATAAACCTAAGGCAATATCTTTAATATCTTCTGTATATTTACAACACATGATATCTTTGTTTGTATTTCTGTAATATTATGATAAACTATTTACATTTTAGAAAATAATTGAAAACTACATCTTAGGGAATAATTTAAGTTTGGCTGTTCCAGCTAAATTCTAATCTTCAGTTTCTATTGCTTATTTCTTACAGGCTACTAGTATAAGTTAAAAATAATTGAAATCCTTGGTTACTATTAAATGTAAAATTTTCTATAACACATGAAAAAAGATTGACTTTTGTTAACTTACATTGAACATCCAGAGTGCATAAGTATTTCAAAAAAATTAAAATATACTAGTACGGGTGATAAATGCGCTTACATAATAGATAGAAGATTAACTTCTCCTTGATAAATTTGATTTTGATCAGCATGAAATGAATGGTGTTCAACTTTAGGTGTACTTGTATGTACAGTGATAACCCCTTTCTTTGAGTTATTACGCCTTAAAAATGCACTAGTTGCAGCCAAACTCTTTCGCGAAGATTTTATACTAGACTTTGCTATTGGCCCGGCAACAGATTTTCTTTGAGGATCCATTGAATAGGTTTTTTTAGAATTTAAAGTTTTATTTTGTCATGACATTTATATTTTTCTAGCGGATATTTTTTTATCTGTGCTATTTGATAGGTACATTATGGTGCTGCCAGACATGCATGAAAATTGAAAATTCTTGCAAAGGCCGGTTGCACATTGTAAGAAATTTCCTCCATCCGAAATCCTGCACAATATCAGAATTGTCGTTGCGGCAATCCTACACTCACTTCATGATAAATCCCAATTGGATCCGTGCGTTTCCTTGTCCAGGCATATTTTATTTTTGGCGCTGTTGTTACTCTGGGTAAACAGAAAAAGATAAATAAAATGTCGATACCGAGTTCAACCGCTTAGTTGCAAAAGATTAAAAGACAGTCCATTTTATTTGAAGCACTCAATAATAAAATCTTATCCTGATCATTTTTCATTTCCTAGCGCATGTCCAGGACCTGCCTGACATGAAGGAAGCCCTATAGTTGAATATGTTGGTTAGCTATAACCATTATCTGCAGTGTAAAAAGTTCACGAACTTCTTTTGCTATCAATTATTTCATGTACCTATAGGCAATAAAAGATCAAGGTGCACTATGCGATAAAATCCGGTAGGATACTTCGTGATATCGTCTGATGCTTAATTACTATAATACTTTCCACTTTATATCACATTGATCATTAAAATTGCCGTGTAATGGAGACGAATTAATTTCCATACCCCCATATCATCCCGTGGGTGTTGCAAGTGACAATAGAGGCAAACTAAGTCAGGAGATGGACACCAGCATCCTCCTTGATTACTTACAACTTAGTAATATAATACCTGCAGCGGTTGCCAACCAGCCTGCCAAGCGTAACAACTACGGCAAATATCTCCCACGATTCGAAGAGAGGGGGAGGACACAATAACCCTCGAATACGCCAACTTGTTCAATCATCGAGACGGCACCATCTAACCAAGGAGTTGAGGGATTTATCGTTTATTAAGGCAAATTAATAATGTGGTCAAGATCGGGAGTGTGTCGACGAGGATTGCGTACCTATCTACTTTGTGAATTACTAGACGGTATTCCAAGGGGGCAACAGCTGACCGACTGCATTGAGAAGGAGAACTTATATAATACTATATATTTATATTTAGTAGTATTGTTGTAGCACGAATGGATCGGCTCGACCGGGGAAGGATTACACTCTCACAGAATACCAGCGTAAAATAGCAGCTTAACGCTGCTGTGTTTCGTATGGTGAGTGTAGAGAACCGGAGAACCTTTTTACTAGAAATAAGGCAATCCATCTTAGTCCTCACGGGTGACAACGCATCTGCATATTGGTTTGTAATAGAGGATAGATGTAGATGTATATGGGCCGCAGCAACCACTTACTATCAGGTGAACTGAGTGCTCGTTTGTCACCCTTATCCTATAAAAAAAAAGTTATTAAAAGCGTCATGCATTAGTAGCCCTTATTAAAACATAGGAAGATATTCTATGTATTCTCGGTATGGGTCTTAGGTATGTCAGAAAAAAAGATATTTTTCAACATAGTCTCCCATGACATCAATACATTACTTGTTCGTGAAAAAAGCTTTTCTATTCCTTTTAAAAATATTCGTCTTGTCATGAAAAATGCTCTTTACCTACAGCAGACTTGAGCTCACTATCTTCAGCAAATCGTTAACCCGAAGGTCTGTTTTTAAGTTTGGGAATAAAAAGTAGTCACTATAGGCCAGATCTGGGCTGTATTGTGAAGTGGTCTTGAAGAGCCGCGTCGTGAGAACCGGTGCGTTGTTATGAAGAAGCAGCGTTCCCTTGGTCAGCTTTCCTCTTCTCTTTTCTTTTATTGCTGCTCTCAAACGGCGTAAAGTGGCTGAGTAATTGTATACGTCTATGGTTTCATCTTTTTTTTGTGTACTCGATCAATAGTATTCCTTTGGAATCCCAAACACTGTGGCCATGATTTTACTGGCCGATGGTGTGACTTTGATTTTCTTGGGGGTCTGATCCCTTTTTATGCCATTGCATAGACTCCTGTTTACTCTCAGGGTCATAGTGGTGAACCCACGTTTCATCTCCTGCAACTATTGTGTCGAAAATACTTGTTGGGTCGTCACCACACAGCTCGAAAAACTCCCTACAATAGTCAACTCGCGCCTGCTTTTGAAGCGCAGTGAGCATTCGCGGCACCCATCTTGCACTGACTTTTGTGAGTTTGAGATAGTCATGCAATATGGTGTGTATACGGATAGGTTAGTCATCTCTGCTAACATCTTAATCTTTTAATACAAGTTCCTTAATAATTTTCAAATTTTCTTCTGTAGCCGCTGTGATTGGCCCACCCAGGCGAGGATCATCTTCGATGCTTTGTCTGCCTCTTCTGAATTCACTTGATCACTTCTGTACAGATGACATTGAAGGAGCAGTCTTGGTAAACGTCCACAATTTCTTCATGGATGTTCTTTGAGTTTTTACTTGTTTAGTAAGGAATTTAATCACCGCACGGTGCTCGATTTTTTTCAACATTGTCGAGTCAGTCATTCTTGTCGTCTGTGACTGAAGGTTACATAAGAAGTAAAGAAGTTATCAAGACGAAATTTCTTATGCCTTTAAGTAGTATCGGTAGCTAATGATTTTTTTTAATTACATTATTAGCAAATCACCCTAATACCGAGAATACATATAAACGCCCCTGGTAGTAGTTTCTCCCATTATATACATTTAGAATTATATTATTCGAGCTCCTAATACAGCAGGATACTATATTATATTATATGCACATTGTTAGAAGGATAACTTAGGTCCAGTATTGCTTTACCCATACAAACTGAAGACATCAGACCAGACAGGAGAAGGAGACAGAGACGCAGTCGTCGTCGGCGTCGGTTTCCGAAAATTTTTAGTCACTAGCTTATATTATAATTTGGAAAAATCTTTCCCATACCCACCAAGCTGGACACGAGGATTGGTGGTGAATATACCGCTATTTGTCAAGCAAGGCATTGTTATAATGCACTGAAATTACCAAAAACTACGATAGCAAAAAGGCAAGCTATACACCTCGCATACAAGCTATACACGTGGAGTGGAGAAAAGTTGAAAAATCTACATGCCTACATTCTCGTAACACGGCTCTTGCTGATTTTATTTTATTAATTAAAGTAAAAGTAAGTATGAAATATAATATTAATAATATAATATTATTTTTCATACTTAGGGAAAACTGTAGCTTGGTAAGCTACTACGGATAAATAAATGTCAATCAGTTTAATCACAGGTGGTAAAGTAATAAATATTTATTTTGAATACAACTGTCCAACACAGCACTCCACACATTCTTTAAGAAAAATAGGTAGATAATAATGTTTATATTATACAAATAAAGTAATATAGAATGCATTTTTATTATGCATGGCCCCATAAAATAGGATTTTAGTGAAATATTTTGTTTAGTTTTCCACAAATAAACGAAATTTGTAAGTACAAAAAATATCGGAGAAAGCCTATATTTGCTGAAATTAAAATTATAATATAAATTATGCGTCAGAATTATGAAGTTATTAATTATATCCCGCGATATTATTATCCATATCAATTGGGGATTATATCACATTCACAATACCTAGGTGATGTTATAAATTCAATATATCGAAAATCAGGTAGTAGCAAATAATATATAAAAATTATGCTTTTTATAATGAATCTATTCGTGTGCTAAACTATTCTATAAGCTTTTGAAAACAAGTAATAGATATTAGAAATGTATTTAAGTACCTACATTATTCAAATAAAACAAGGAATAGGTGTCATTCTTTATTTCAATAGAATCAATGAAACAGATAAGTGCGTTTAATTTAGATCTCCCATAACTTGAAAGAAATTAAAAAATGATAATGGTTGTTGACATAGCAAAATAAAAATGACATAACAAAGATAAAACGAAATTTATATTATTTGGTGGAATAAATTGAATAACACTTTAGATTGTCACTAGACCATAAATTTTTGTAACCCTTATGACACACTCAAAACATGTTTTAATAAAATTTACAAAGCATTTGATAAAACACACCAACACTTGTAGGCACTTTGCTTGATCCTATTGAAATATAAAAATGGTACAGATTTGCTTGAAATATTTTGTTTGGATTATGATATAAGCACTCATGTGGTCACTTGTTCTAAAAATGAAGAAATCAAAAACAATCTATGACAAAAATGTATTAAGTAATAATTTGTAGAAAATCAATTCTTGTTCACCTTAAGATCTAGTTATGCTTTAAAAGTACGAGTTGAACGTGATACTACAGCAAAAAGTGCTAAATTACATTTTTATAAAGCATCAATTTCAAGAACAATAACTTTCAGTACTTTTCATAAAACATATCTACAATCTTTTAAATATGTTAAAATTATTTAAGAATAAGTTGTGTAAATTTTTTTGCAGTTTTCAGTTTAATAATAATCGTTATAACCAAGCAAATCTGTAGGTAACTAACAGACAATGACGTCAAACATACAATATAATGACTAAGCGCACACATGAAGTTCTTTTATTATGTAAGGTACGTGCTTCTTACATTTTAATATTATTTTTTCACAATAATTTACAAAATGTTTGTATTGCACTTTGAAAAAGGCAGGTAGAAGTATTTATAAGTTAACTGTTTCTACCTATGGGTGGGTGTTGAAATAAACCTGACACAAGATACTATTATATAGACACCTAACAAATAAGTAACTACATATTCAAATTTCAATTAAAATTGACATGTTGAATTATATACTCTCAATTTATTGGTGGACACACATTTAATATCCTAATAGAACAGCATGCATAGATAGGATTAAATCAACAATGACCTGTAGTAAAATAAGTTAAAACAAACAAAACCAAGCAAAAACTATGAAAAGCAAACAGAGATAAATAAGACTCCAATGTCAAACCAATAAAAATAAATGAAGTAAAGAAAATTTATTTCTATTAGAATAGGTTACTGATTATTGGGCTTGTAATAAGTCTTAGAGACAATCTTGAGTTTAAAACTTTAAATATGGTCTAGACATAATTTTTGACATTGTGGGATTTCAGTAAGCTTATGATTGTTTCTGGATACCACCAGGCTTTGACCCAACCAATATTAACCATAACACACATGCAACTCACATAATATGTAATTCTCTGGACACTAGCTACATAATTTACATGATAGTTTAGACTGTATCTCATTTAAAACAAGAGTTTCTTTCAAATTATAGTATTTGTTTGTATGTTATAATAATTTAATTTTAGTTCATATTATTTTGGAATATTCAGAAGAAAAGAAATAATTGTAACAATAGAATAAACCAATTATTACAAGTTTTTGCACATGTTCAGTAAAATTATGAATTCTCAGTACCTATTTACAGATTTCCACCAAAGTTGAAATGTAAATATCTAACATTTATACTTTCTTCATAGTATGTAGATGTAAAATACTACTTCCACAAAAAAAGTCAAGATTTTCTGAGATGTCAACACTGCAACTCTACAAATCTATATGGTGTTTTGTTTCTATTTACAGTCTTGTCATTTGTACAACCATCTATATATAGCTTTAAATTTACATTTATACTGATTTTGCATCAGTGTTCTACCTTTACTTCTAGGTACCCATTCAAAGAACAATTCCATATTTCATAGTCACAAAAATATCTTAAACTTGTCAAAAATAGACATTTGCCCTCGATTTTAGCCACATGTACTTAGGAAACATACATAATAAATTTATAATAATCAACATTATTTGATAAACAATGATAACAATCAATAGATCTCTGTTTTATTATACACATATGAACTTTCAACAGTCTGTTGTAAAAACATATACCTATTAATGTACAAAAGCACAATACACTTAATCTATTATAGGTAGGTACTTACAGTTTTCTGTATGTATCATTGATGTGTGGTAAATTATAGTCACTAAAAGCAAAACAAAATTGAACTAAATGTATGCTAAATTAATAAAAAATCGATTATAATATACCAGTGTAATAATTATAACGATTTTGAAATCTTCTTTAAATGTATATGATAGAATATTCTAAATATATTTTAAAAAATATTCTCAAATGTAGCCTGTTTTAAAATCATAGCAATATAAAATTTTCTCTTTAGCATCAAATTAGTAAATGGATTTATAACTTTGCTTATTAAAATCTGTACAAGCATATATAATATTGGTATTGTTTTAGGTTAGTAGGTTAAACACCTCCTCTAATATTACTTTTAATAAAGGGAAAAAGCACAGTGGCATTTACTCATTATTAACATAGATAACCTATCTAAAGTTTGAAAATATCTGATTCAACTATTTTGTTATTTAAAACAATAAAGATTTCAAGAAAAACAACAAAACACAAGCAATTCCATAATAAATTAAATAACATCAGTAGCAAACCACAGGTAAACCACTCTTCACCAACAGGACAACCCATTTGTATTGTAGATGAAGACAAATAATAATTATTATCTAATGCTGGCTACAATCACAGAGATTATTGTGAGCTTATCAAATCAGACACTGGATCAAACAGAGTGGCCTTGGGATTGGTGCCTCTGTCCCCACTGACTAGAAGGTCCCTGTGCAGAATTACCTTGTTGCATCCATGACAAAAAATTAGGCGGAGCTGGTGGAGCAGATGATGCAGGACCTGCAAAAGCGCCTTGCTCTGAACCTCCTGATGGGATGTTATTTATAAGGCCCCAACCCGCAGCTTGGTTAAGTGCCGCTGCCACCAGGGCTTGGTTTACTGGGAGACCTCCCATACCTAGTGGCATACTACCTCCCTGTGCTTGACCTCCACCTCCAGCAACAGCAGTTTGACCATGTTGACCAGACAATCCCAATGCTTGGACATTTACCATATCCATATTACGATTATTCCAAGAGTTGTTATTAGAAGCATTGTGGGGATGGCCTTCATCATAGTTTCGGGTTGACAAATTCCGTTGATTAGCTCCACTTTTATTTTGCTTTGGAGATGCATTTGACACATTGACAGAAACACCTTTAATTATATGATCTTGACCGCAAAGACTTTGTGCTACTTCCGGGTCTAAAAACGTAATAAAGCTGAAAGCTCTGAATGGCTTAGGAATAAAAACATCAGTGACTTCTCCAAACTGAGAGAAGTATTCCCTTAAATCATTAGCTGTTAAGTCTTCAGTGCAACGGCCAACAAACACTTTGCATGGCATAGAAGTTACGGAGCCTTCTTTTGAATTGGGTATTCGCACATCACACCATCTCCCATCAATCATATGCCTTTGGGCCAACACTCTCATTTGAGAAGCATATGAAGCAAATCGAATAAAGGCGAAACCTTTTGACATGCCAGTTTTAGGGTCCCGTTTCAGTTGTGCCATTAAAACTTCACCAAATTTTTCAAAATATTCTCTAACGGTTTGCTCAGTTGCTTTCCATGGTAAACCCAGAACTATTAGATCGGAACAAAGATTATCATTTCGTTTGTTCTTAGTAACATCAGATACTTCGCCTAATTTTCGTTTATTTTCCTTCGGAAAACTACATATGTAAAGATGATTACCCCATCCTTCAGGTGGAGGATAAAGCCTGCCGTCTCTTAATCTTATGCCTCTAATATTTTTTGTCTCAGGATGGCGATATTTCAGTCCGCAACATCCAGGAAACTGCGCAGACACTGTTGTTAACATCAAAGTTCCATCTTCTTCGATTGGAAGTTCTATGGGTTCCTCATTTTCGTCTTCAGCCACAGGTAAATATTCGAAGGACATTATTTCTTATTCATGAACGATATTAAATAAAAACAATAAAAATTAACACGGTAATTATACTTATCTCTATAAAATGTACAACTTCTATTCCTTAAAAATAAAAAAATTACTTAAACGTCAGCCACGGGTTAGGAACCCATTGCAATTTGCTAGTTGAAAACATAGCGTGACTAAACGTTCTTGATCACTTATATTAAATCACTCCTGATCATACAACGGCAAATGAGTTACATAAATATCTAAAGAACATCGCAGAACATTATTCTTTTTTAAATAAAGAGAAAAAAATTAAATAGAGTACATTAGCTGTTATTCCGTAAAGGTGTCGTACAAAGTAGAAAAGATCTTAATTAATATAAAAAAGGAGTAGTTTTCGTTGTGGGGCATCTATTAAAAAGTATTAGCGATCGGCGTTGAATGAATGAACTAGTTAACTCGACCGTTGACATACTGTGAACGAGTAGACGTTTTACGAACAATCAATGGACTAGTCGAATCCGTAGACGGCTAAATTGAAACTCCATAACGTTCATTTTGACTAGCAACGCGACGACCTACGCGAGGAGGTAGTCGGATAATATAAGTTCATATTATGTTTGTTGAAATGACATAATTGCGCAAACAAATTAGAACTATAAATGTAGACAGTGTAAGAGTATAAATAGCAGTTTGTTAATGTGTTTGTCGTGGTATCATCGCGTATGCAAAAGAGAAGGGCGACTTAATAATAAACGACATGCCGATACACTAGTTTACGGTTTACGTATGTCGAATATGTCGAATTATAGACGTTTAAAATTTAAACGTCTGCAAAACCAAGTTGACGCGTAAACTAGTTGACAAATTTAAATAGTTGATCGACGAAAATGGACGGTCTATTTTCTTTAACGACAAATTTGTCGACGACCCATCGTTAAAAAGTATTTAAATGCTCCAATAATATTTAAACAACAGCATCTGAAGTAAGTCTGTGAGTTAATCAATTATATTTGTTTTAACTTCGTGTTCATGTAATTTAATTTATTTTTTATTTCGTGTTCGTCTGCGTAGGACAGAAATAAAAACCTGCAGATTTCTATATTAATGATTTTGTTTGCTGTATTTAAAGTACCACTTTTTAGAAAAACTTTTAAAAATTAAAAATTTTGTGCAACCGACTTCAATATAAATATAATTTATTGTTGATTTTTTAAAAACCGCTCGACCGATTTAGATAAAATTGAAATGGAACCACTTGGGAAGGTTTAGGCGTCTTCGAGTAATTCTGTGGTTGGAGTTCAAGGAGTGATTCAGTAAGTGCCATGAAATTAAAGCTAACACAATACTTCAACTAATTCGTAAAGAGACAGTAAAATCTATTTTCCAGAGATGTAGTTGGTAAAGAAAACAGTAAGAAAAATTTTGCACATTGTTTATTACAATTGAATTTAAAAAAAATTCAAAACCATTTTTACACATGATATACGAATTGTGAGAAATGACTAAATCATTTGTCTTAATGTTAAGTTGCAAATAACCAATTTCTGCCCTTAAACATGCTATGCTTAGTCACAATTAAATTTGTTTTAAAACAATCAGAATTAAAATTTAATAAAATGGATGTCCGCTACAGATACACTCACCATCAATCAATCAATTTTTTTGCGATTATCTTAAAAGATTTTTTTAATTTAACGTAAAATCACACTTTTCACAGGTCACTTTAATTTTAAACTCAAGAGTTTTGATGTATAATGATGTTGAAATAATTTTTTTTATTAAAAAACGATTTTGCAATTTAAGAGATAGATGATAAAAGAAATGGGAACCCTTTATATGTCTTATTGCCAACCAAAAAACTTTATCAAAATCTTCAAAATCTTTCATTATTCATAAAAAAGCCATCTATGTTAAAAGTTTTCGATTTTATAATAAAACCCTCCATGTTTATCAAATAACATATAGCCTCGATCCCTCCTGGCATTAGTGTCTACATGTGCATGGAGTTTCATCACAATCGCCTTAACCATTTCAATGATTATCCCTCACAGACAAACGTACAGATATTTTTTTTAAATGGCTGTTTAGGTTTTAACACGATGCAAACAATCCTCTGAGCTCAATAGAAGGCAGATAATTCGATATTACAGACGGACACTACAATTTTATTCAAACAAGCCCCTCATCTCAATAAAAGGCAGTTTTTTCGATATAACAGACAGACGCTTCAATTTTATTTATATATATATCGCATTATTTCTTTTATTAGGAGGAGAGTTCTCAAAAGTTATAGGTAGAGGCTATGTATAAAAAGAGAATTTAAGAGTATATTTTAAATTAATTACTTAAACTATCAAGAATTATAATCGGCCTAGTATAATAGACAATATTACCAAAGTAAACGACTGTTAATACCATAGACTAAGAATATAATGGCGTAATACTTTCTAAATTTGACATTTAGTTTAGGGTTGCCGGTTGCCGCAGGTCAAAGACTCATGCCTCCTCTACACTACTCGCGAAGTAGATCGAAGTTAGACCAGGCGAATAGTGTAGAGAGGTACTTCAATTTGCTTCGTGCAACCTCGCTTCGCCTCGGGCGACTTCCGAACTCTGTCGGTTTTCGCCAAGAGTCAAAGGACTTCACGAAGTACCCCAAAGTTACACGAAGCATCTCACTACACTACTTGGCTTACGCGAGTATGAATATTTTTTTTATAAATATTAAATATGTAGCTTTCTACATAATTATTGATTTAGATAACGTATTGATGTCATACTGTTCACATAATTAGGTACCTATAGCAGCTGCCTCTCAAACGTTATTCATGTTAAGGGTGCGGGAGAGTCAAGATGACTTAAATCTTCGCGAGGTAGCACGAGTGTGTAGTCACGTTCTTCGGACTACGATCGACTTCGACGAGCACTTCGTCGAAGTTACTTCGCGAGTAGGCGTGTGTATCTCTTTACGGAAACGACTCACTGATCCGAATCACTGAAGTGTCACAAAAGATTGGTTGTAGTGTTATGCTACTTACATATCATTTTACATTATTTTAAATTCATTTTTCCATTCTGTTTCGATTTTCTGCATTCACCTCAAAACTGGATATTTTACATCACCTTTATTTCCATAGGATCCTGTAACGATTTTAAACCATAAGAACACAATAACAAATCATTTCTACTTCGTATTTTCACATTATCAGCACTTTTAAATTGGTGTCAATGGAGTCTACCTTTTTTCGATCTTTTAGCTAGTTTTCCGTAACTCTACAATCTTGGGCTTTGTGTGGGCAGCTGCGCTACCTTTTTTCCTATATCAATAATATCTCATTTTCCACTTAAATCTTACCGTTTTCTTATTATAAACCTAAAACCAAAATTTGACATGTTTTGACATTGTTATTTATTTCGTTTCCATAGTAATTATATTCAAATTTGCTACCGATCTGTTGTTCCTATTTCGATAAATCCACATAAATACTCTTTTCTCTTGACCATTTACAAAAAATTTGCGTTTAATTTAAATAATTTTTCCGTTCTCTCTAGAAAGGTATAAAAGCTGAACAATCGGTGAAGAAAGGCAGTCTCGCTTCAGTTCGCGAATTGGAAGTATCTCCTAAAGGCCTTATCCCGGGGCCGCACTGCCCCGGGATCCTACAAGCCTCCACCTACACGTGAAGTCTTCGGCGAAGCCTTCTTCAAACGCGGAGCCACACCACTCCGGACTCCTACAAGCCTCCATCTACCTCGGAAGTCGTCGGAAGTCTACTACAAGCGCGGGGGCCACACTACTCCGGGCGCTACGACTGCTTACTCCAGGCGCCGAGAGCACCTACCGCCGGCGCTACCTTTGGGCGCTGCAACTGCTTACTCCAGGCGCCGAGAGCACCTACCGCCGGCGCTACCTTTGGGCGCTGCAACTGCTGACTCTAAGCGTTGAGCGCACCTACTCCAGGCGCTACGTGCGCCGCCTCCGGACGCCGCGTGTGCTGGCTCCAGGCGTTGCGTGTCGTCGCTGCTAAGAAACCTACCTCTACAAGCACAACCGGCGTGTGCTGGCTTCAGGCGCTGCGTGCCGTCGCTGCTAAGAAACCTACCTCTACAAGCGCAACGTGTGTCGCTTCGACTTTTAGGCTCCACTACAACTCTATATTCCCCTATTCTCCTACCTTTATTTTTTTTGTAATCTAATTGTACTCTCACTTCATTCATCATCATCCTCATTTCATTTTTTTTATAAAATTGTAAATACCTTTTAAAAATTTAAATATATTGTTTTCTGGCTCTACTTTTGTTGTTTTGTTGTACTTAGGTTAGGTTCTATTTTTTTTTATTGTCGCTTCACGACATGGTTCAGTAACAACGTTTCAAAAGTATCATTTGGATCTGCAACAGTGAAACATTACTTTGCTCTTTGCTCATTTCGCGCGACGCGTCGCTTGCGAGGCGAATGAGCCACGAGCGAGAGAGACATACTGAGACAATGATTAACTTAACTATTGATTCACGAGTGGCGAGTGAGCGGGCGAAATAATTATAATCCGCACAAGCCAGATAGAGATAACAAATAAGAAGTGTATCACTCAACTCGTACGGATTTTCGCTGACGTTATTCATGCACGTAAAAATTACCACTAAGGCGCTTATGTGTCAAATACTATACCGTCGTTTTTTGTATGTAGTGTTTGCATTAACAAGTTGTCATTTTACGTTGATGCGGCACTTGTCAAATTGTTTATATTCATTAGCGCCTGTTTATGAAAACATACTAAGTTATGTTTAGGATTTCTTTGCGTAGTGATTATTGTGACTTTACTTTCTTCCTTTTCAGCATAAAGTTTAGAGTTATGATACTTTGCGAGAAAATTCTGTGTACATAGACATTGCTGTTTTGTGTAAATGGACATTTTTGTAAATAATGAATTGACATAGTGACACTTTTGTTAAAGTATGAAGGAGAATCGATTTTATATACAATCTTATTACGGTACACAATAAATAATCTAAGCACTTAT